AAAAAAAAATTTAAAGTATATTTTTCTCACCAAAGAAAATTGTGTAACTTTAAGAAAATGTTTAAAGAAATTTTGACACACTTATTTTGAGATTGACTCACTAAAATATTTTAGACAGAGAAAAAATGATTTTTCAACTGACTCAAAAATAATTTTTATCCCTCAGAAATTAAATTGTTTTGTGCACAAGATATTGTCATCCTTACAAGAATCCTAGACTCAATAAAAATTAAAAAGTCTTCGGAGTCTTCACATCACTTCGAAAAACTACGTTGGGGGACCGTTGATTTTTATCCCGTAACTTTCTTGATACGCCTCTTTTCTTTTCTCGGTACGAAAAGTAAATTTTCGATCATCGTTTGAATTTCATCATCCTGTTTGTCATTTATCAAAACAAAAATATTCCAGAAAAATAATAAAGGGGTTTGAACTCATGTCCAACATTCTAGCTGTTGTTCAAGAATTCTGAACTGTAGCTCTTTATTGAGTGAAGTACTCAGTTTGTCTTCTAGTGCTTGTTTAGGAATTCTGGGCGAGCTCTTCAATTTGAGAAGTCCAGACTTTGTCCTCAAGTCATTTGTTCTTGAATCAGCTTAAATATCCTCAATCTAGCCGTTAAAAATCAAGAGATTGATTTTTCCTTACCAACGGGTAGAATTTCTTCATTCAAGACTTAGATAATTTTCTAAGTCCTTATCTCACGTATCTGCTTCTGAGAATTCCGGTCTTTCTTGAGGCATCCGGTTGTTCGCTGACAATTCCGGAAAAAGTCATTTATAGACTTCTAGGTGAGAAAGAGATCCGCGCTAGTCTTCCAATCCGGATGACTTAGCCTTCAGCGGGTTGTTTGCGAGACATCCGGTTATTATATAGTGTTCCGGATTAGAGGATCTTCAAAGTAATCAACTGCTTTGAGAATTCCTTACTCTTCTCTGACATTTTCGATCAAGATATCCAATTTCCATATCACAGGATTTGGTTAAGTCTTCAAAGATTGACATCAAACCGTAGAGTGAAATATCACATCTTTATTGGAAATCTCAAGAACTCGGTTTTAACAATATTTCTAAAAAGAAAAATTACATTGAATATTGGGGATGACCTAAAGTCGCTATTACAATCTAAATACATCATCATCAAAACCTACAATATTTTTCCCAACAATTTCCCCCTTTTTGATGATGACAAACAAGTGTTTAAGAGTTCCGGTCACTGTACTGAGAACTAATTTTATAACTTTCTTTTAGTTTCTCATAATATACAGCTTGTTAACCAAAAATCTTAAACAACTACAATTCAAATTACAACAATTCCTAAACCAAGTCTTGTCTTGAGATCTGTGATATTTCTGCCATTTGCTGCTTTCATTTCTAGCGGATGTTGCTTGGAAGTTCAGATGGCATTGTGTTTGATGGATCCCAATATCCAAAATGGACACTGAGATCTAGGAAGCAACATCTCTCCAAAAAGCAAAAACAAAAATAAAAAAAATGGGAGGAAAGGAGGAGCTTGTGAAAGGAAAGAAAAAAAACAGAAGGGCAAGAGAAGGTTTTGGGAAAGAGAAAAGATTGTAAAAAGGAAGATAAAAAAAGGGTTTTGAAAAAGAGTTTAAAGAAAGAAAAAGATGGTGACTAGGGAAGAAAAGGTTTTGAAAATAGTAAAAGAAGGGGAAAAAGAAAACCAAAAAGTTGGAAACCAGAAGAAAATAGTATACAAGCGAGGGAAGAGAGAGAGGCCTGCCTAACAGCTATAAGACAAAGAAAGATTTGCCTTATTGCTGCAAGAGAAAAGAAAATTTGAAAAATAGTTTGAAAAGAGGTAGGGAAGGGGGAAAAGGGAGGAGAAGTGGAGACCTAAAATCAATTTGAAATAAATAAAAGAAAAGAAAGAAAATTAGAAGAAACGAAAATGGAGAGAGTGTTGTTCCGGAGAAGATATGTGGCGAGATGCAAAGATATGCGAGATTCCCACCAAATATCTTCTCTACTGCCGAGATTTCCACCAAATATCTTGAATATCTTTTCTTCTCACCAGGCTTTCTCCATTGCCGTCTATGAGGGTGAGAAAGAAAAATTTCTCCATTGAGGATATTTTTCTTGGTCTTTTTCTCAGACAATGAGTTTGAAAACTTTTCATGTTGGAAGAGTTATTTGTGATATGAATGGATTGGAATGTCTTGGTTTAAATAGGAGGAGAGGTTGAGAGAGGGGAGGTTCACGGGTTCCATTTAGTGGTTAGTTGGAACGGTGAGAGAAAAAAGTGTTTCAACTTCCAATAAGTTGAATTTTGAAAAGTTGAAGGAGTCTTTTACCGGTTACCAAAGTTTTGAAACTGTTCCAATTAAAAATCAGTTTCGTTTGGTTTGAAAAACGTAACTGTTCTGGCTTGGCTAAGCCCAAAAGAGTGGCCCAAAAAAAATCTATGCACTAAGGGAAATTATTCCTATTGGGTTCTGAAGCCCCAAAATAAAACTATCATTTTTCATTCCCTATAGTTCTAATTTCTAATTAGGACGAGGTAGTACCAAAAGAAAAATTATGAAATTCACTTTTAAAAGAAAAGTGGTACTATTTTTCCAAAGTCCTGTACATTATAAATATCCTAAGGACCAGTACTTTAGAGCAAAGTTGGAATTGAACTAGGGATTAAAACTCAGTTTAAGAAGACAGATTTTGTAGAGTACTGGTTAATTATGAATTATTATTCAATTAATCAAATTTATTTTGATTAAAATAAATTCTTGTTGGGCTTTAGGCCGAAATGAAATGTGTTTTGATATCTAATATCATAATATGGATAAATCTTATTAAGATAAATCAGATATGTTGACTATTTGTGTGATCTTGATTGGGAACCAGAGTACATACCCAAATTAAGAATAAATAAAGATTCTGTGAACTTTGGAATGATTTATTGAAATAAACCATGAGAACAAATAATATAAATTAAATGAGAGAACCTTTTTGAATAAAGGTCAACTAAATCAAATTTGACTTTGTCAAAGTCAACCATCCAAAAATATGATGTCGGAAAAAGTATTAAAAATAAATATAAAAATTATATCATTTGATAGAGTGACTATCTGATTGCAATGGTACAAACGAATTTCAATTTGGAGAAAGTTGGACCAAAAAGTGTACCCCGACTAGGAACAAAATTAGTCCCAATCAGGGAGAGACATAGTA